TTCCTCAAATCTGAGTTTCGGGCAATTTGCTCCAATCGGGTGGGAAGGATTTCATGGAGTTGGGGCAAGCTGGATGTGGCTGTGGCATGAGACCATTGGGGTGGTTATCCCACTGCCATGAGACCCCAGGATGCAGCTTGCCCACACCCACAGCACTGGGAGAAAGGATGGGTGTCCCCTGGCCAGAAGCGAGGGAAAAACCCTTGGCACTGAGCATTCTCTGCCCAGTCCTGTGCTCCAGTTTGGTGGCATTAGGGACGTGGCGTGTCCCACGCCATGGGATGTGGCAGTGCCCACGGAAAGTGCCCCAGGGACACAGGAGAAACCTCCCCTTTCCGCTGGGATTGGGAAAGTGCTGCACGCGGGAGTTGCTCATGCCAGGGCAGAGTGACTCAGGGTCCTGTGTCCTGACCTGGACTTTTGACCTCGGAGCTGTGCCAGGTCTTGTGGCACCTGGCACAGCCCCTCTGGGACACAGGATGGTCCTTGGCTCTCCCTGTATTTAGCCATGCTGGCTTTTGGGGACACCTTCCTTCCTGACAAAACTCCTGCCAGCTCCAGCATCCAGGCTTTGGGTACTGGACTGGGACTTTTGGGACCTTCCTGGGATTTTGGGGACAGTGTGGCTCCTGGGAATGGAAGGGGCCAGACATCTCCTCTCCCTGTGTTGTCACGGGGCTGATCCTGTGAAGCACCCAATGTATCAGGAGATGTTTGATGGAGCTGGCGGGCTCCTGTACAGCTGGATGAGCTGGCACTGCCCTGAGGGCGGTCTGGTCAGGCCAATGCCATCTTCATGGTGTGGTGTTCGGGAGGCGGCAACAGGACATGCAAGGCAGGAACTGGGAGTGGAGGGGGAAAATGGGATGTGCCAGTGTGGAGTGTCCCACTACAAAATCCCCCTAGGCAGAGGGGTCTCCTTGGAGGTGGGGATGATCCAAGGTTGAGGGTCACTATCACCAGTGGAGAGTGGCCACCACAAAGGGGTGGTGGCCACAAACAAGGAATGGTGACCATCACTGGAAGTGGATGGTTGTCACTGATAGAGAGTGACTGTCACTAATGGAGGGTGGCCAGCACCACTTCAGGACGGTCATCACCAGTCAAGGATGGCCATGGCCAGTGGAAGGTGGCCATCAGCCCCAATCCCCTCCTGGCACAGGTCTAGTGACCCCCATGCCCACCCACCTCTGGGTGCCAATACCCAGCCAAACCCCCTTTGGGTCCTCCTGTCCTGACTGATGTACTTGGTGGCTTTGAGGGTCACACAGGGTTGGGGGAGCGAGGGAAGAGCTGGAGCAGTGTGTCAGTGACATGTGAGAATGCTAAAATTAGACGGCTCCAGCTAATCTAATTTAATCTCCCCTTTTCCATCCGTTCTGTGGCGATTAGCCTGGCGAGCAGGGTGGGAAGCCAGGCTGTGAGGCAGCCCAGCCAAGGGACACCCGACCCCCGGGGAATCCCTCTGGCTGTTTTGGGGAGGGGTGTCTGTGCAGAGTGACCTTGGGGTGCAGCGGGGGTTTGGGATGGGTTGGAAATTGCCCCAGCACTATGAGAGGAGGAGCAGCAGTAGGATGGGTGGAAGGAAGGATGGATTTCCACCACCCCAAGGTGGGCAGCGCACAATCCTCCCCTCCCTCGCCCCTCACGGAGCAGTTTGGGGTGTGTGAGCCCCCTCCCTCTCGGCAGAGCCGGGGAAAGGCTGTTTCACTCAGCTCAGCCCAAGGTCACGCGCTCATCCTGCGGCTGCTGAAGAAAGAAAAGTTCTCCAACCGGTTTTCTATTCCCGGCTCTGTGCGAGGGCTGGGTCCAGCCAGGTTCCAGGTTTCCGGTGCTTTGGGTGACAGGGCAAAGTCAATAACTGGTCACTGGTGTCACTCTGATGCCGATGGGTTCGTGGGGATGTGTATGCCCGTGTCCAATGAAACCTCCTTGGAAGCTATGTGGAGCAGTGCTGGAGCGATGAATCACGGGGCAAATGATCTCAGATGAGTTCACGCCTCTCCTGGAGCAGCTCCAGCTCCAGGGTCATCCCAACTGCTCCGTACTTGGATGGTCTTGTTCTCAGTTCCTTTATACCCACCCATGCCTCGGTTTCCCCAGTAGAAAAGTGGGTTATGACCCTCCCCGGGTTCCCAGCAATCTGCTGGGGGTCCCCAGGAGCAGCAGTGCTCCATGGGGGGGCTTTGCTCTGTGCTGTGGGTCAGGCTGGTCCCAGGGTTCCAGGATACTCTGTCCCTGCTCTGGCCGCTGGGCACGGCTCTTCCTCCCGCTCCGACGTTGTTATTACTGCATCACTCGTACCCAAAGAATCACATTAGAGAAATTAGAGCTGGTTGTAGCTCCAATCCCTGCAATCAGCCGCTTCCTTTTCCTAAGGAACGCGGCATTAAATGCCGATAGATTATTACAAGCTCATGTGGAGCTGGGAAGCCTCTAGGATGCCTTGAGAAGGTTTCCATTGGGAGGTTTATTCCAGGAAAGGAATTCCAAAACCAACCGAAAAACCTCAAATTAAAAAAATTACTTTATTCAGATGAACTGGTTAAGCAGAGCCCAGCTCCTCCTGTCTTTTCTTGACTAGGACATTATCTGGCAAATCAACAGAGTCTTGGGGAATATTTTCCCTGAATAAACTGATTTTATGGGACAGAAGGATGAGACAGGTCCCTCATTTTGCGCAGACAGTCGCTTCCTTCATCCAGCCAGGCTGGTGGCAGATGGGGAAGGCGGACAGATGTGTCCAGCTATTTTTAGGCTCAAGCACTGCTTTAATTTCAACTTGACCACGGAGAATTTGGCTTTTTAGGGTAAAAAAAAATAAAAATCAAACCTGGATCAGACAGTGAATTGAAATGTAGGGGCAGCGACAGAGATTAATGAAATATCCTGAGTTGGAAGAGATCCACAAGGATCATTGAGTCCAAATCCTAAAATGCATCAGGCCACGATCTGGGGATTTAACTGGAACCCCTGACAGATTCATGGTGGGTGTAGCAGGACTGGATCCTCTTGGAAAAGGTGTCTGGTAGCAGGATTGTCTCGCCTCTGGCTTTGGTTGTTTCTCCTCCTCTTTCCTTTGAAACAGAAACAGGGGGATCTTTGATCAAAAACACCAAAATGATGTAAATGACTGCGTGGAAAGGACTCTTGAGAGGGTGAAGGCAAGGGGAGCAAGAGCTGCTCCGGACTGGTTGGGAAAGCGGCGGGAGCGGGCAGACGGGTTGGGTAACTCCTGCCCCAGGGCTGCTGGGACCGGCTCTGCTGGGAGCGAGGAGCGGGAGCCGCTCCGGAGGGCCAGGACGTGCCGCGGCCCTCGTAGGGCTCTGGGCCACCAGCGCCCGGCCGCGGCCAGCGGACTCGCAGATGGAGCCGGGATGGAGGAGAGGAGGAAGGGGTGGTGGTGGAGGCAGATCCCAGCCCCAGCGATGCTCCCAAACGATGCTTCCCAAGGTTTTTGGGGCGCAGCGGGCACCCCTCGCCGTCCGTGGCTGCGCACGGGGAGCGAGACACGCGGGCGAAGGAGCGAGCGCCACGGGCCGCGGGGTGATGGATGCGAGCTGACGGGTGCACAGGGCTGCGCACGTTCACACGCATGTGACAGCACCGGGCACACCGGGGCGGAGCGGCGGCTGCGTGCGGGGACACGCACAGGGGCTGCGGGCACGGCCACGGCCACACGGACTGAGGCCATGGCCACGGACACACGGGCTGAGGGCACGGGCACGGGCCCACACGGACTGAGGGCATGGCCACGGACACACACGCAGGCTGCAGCACACGCGTGATGCAGCCCCAGAGCACCCCAAATACAGCCCCCCAGTAGACCCCGCTGGACACCCTCACTGCATCCTTAATGCACCCCCGCAGTGCTCCCCAACCCTCCCAATGCATCCTCCAGTACACTTCCAACCTCCAGTATCCTGCAATGCACCTCCAGTGTAACCCCCTGGGCACCCGTAGCCCCCCTAATGCATCCCCCGTGCACCTCCCCAGTACAAACCAATGCATGACCCCCGGTACGTGCCTAGTAGTACACCCAAATTCACCCCCCGGTGCAACCTCAACCTCCCTAAAGCACCCCTGATGCAATTCCAGTGCACCCCCCTAGCGCATGCCCCAGCCGTGCAGGCCCAATGCAACCCCCGTACAACCCTATGCACCCCCAGCCGCTTCAGTGCACCCCCAATTCACCCCTCCAGTGCACCCCCAGCCCACCCGTGCCCTCCTCGGTGCATTCACAGCCTCCCGGTGCACCTTCAATACATCCAGTAACCCCTGCTGCATGTCCAGGACTCCTTGTATAACCCAGCCCCTGCAGTCTCCCCCCAGTGCCCCCACAATGCACCCCCAGTGCACTCTTAGTGCCCACCGCATGCACCCCCCCTGTCCCCCCGCAGTGCCCTCCCCGTGTCCCCCCAGTGCCTACCCAAAGCACTCCCAGTGTCCCCCCAGTATCACCACAATGTCCCTCCCCAATGACCCCCATGTCCCCCCGGTGCCCACCCAATGCACTCCCCATATCCCCCCCAGTGTTCCTCCCAATGCCCCCCCGTGTCCCTCCGTTTTCCCCCCATATCCCCCCCAGTGCCCCTCGTGTCACTCCAGTGCCCACCCAATGTCCTCCCTGTATCACCTCCCGGTGTCTCTCAGTGCACTCCCAGTGTCCTCCCGGTGCCCACCCAATGCGCTCCCAATGTCCCCTCAGTATCACCCCAATGTCCCTACCCCTTATCCCCTCCGTGTCCCCTCCGGTGTCCCCCAATGCACTCCCAGTGTCCCCCCAGTATCACTCCAGTGTCCCGCGCGATGTCCCCCCGCTGCCCCCGCGCCCCCCAACGTTGGGCGCGGCCCCGCCCCCCTCGCGCGCACCGGCACACACCCTCGCGGCTCGGCCAATGGGGAGCGGCGGCGTGGCTACGTCACGGGCGCGGGGGAAGCTCCTCAATGAGCGCGGTTGGCGCGGGGAGCGCGCGGCGCTGCCGGGGCCGCTCCGCTCCCACGGAACCCAACCGAACCGAGCCGACACGAGCCGAGCTGCTCCGCTCCCGCCATGATCGCTTCGCACCTCCTCGCTTACTTCTTCACCGAGCTCAACCATGACCAGACACAGAAGGTGCGGGGACTGTAAGGGTGAAAGTGGGGAGCGGGAGGGAAGGGGAGAGGTGAGAAGGGAAAAGTGAAGAGGGAAAGGGGAAGAAAAAGAGGAAAGGGGGGAAAAAAAGGGGGAGAAGAGGAGAAAATGTGAGAAAAGGGGAAGAAAAGTAAAAGGATGGGTAAAAGTAAAAAAAAAAAGGAGGGAAAAGGAGAAGGGGAGAGTGAAGAGAGAGGAAGAAGAGAAAAAGAAAAGGGAAATAAGAGGGAAACTAAGAAGAATGAGGAAAAAAGTTGAAAAAAGAAAGGATGTAAATGGAAGGAGGAAAAAAGAAAAGAAGTCAGAAAAGGGGAAAAGGAGAGGAAAGGAGTAAAAAGAGCAAAAAGGAGAGGGTAAAGTGAAAAAAAAAAGTAAATGGGGAAAAAACGAAAAAAGTGGGGAAGAAAAGAAAAAAACTTTTTTTAAGAGGGAGCAGGAGGCAAAACAACCAGGGAGCGAAGGGGAACAGGGGCGCAGCGGGCCGGGCCGGCGGGCGGAGGCCCCAGCGCTGCCCGGCCGGGGCCGCGTGCGGTACGTGCCGCGGGACCCCGCGTGGCCGGGCGGGCGGAGGGGGAGGAGAGGAGGAGGAGGAGGAGGAGGAAAGGGAATCTCCGTGGCTCTCCCCGCCGGGGCCAGGACCCCCGTGGCCGCCCCGCGCAGCACGTGTCGCCGCTTCCCGCCGGCGCGGAGCATCCCTGCGAGCCGGTTCCTCCGCTCCCCCCGCCCAGGGCTACGAGCCGAAGCCCCCGCGGGGAGCAGGGTCAACCCGGGGCACGAGTCTGGAGGTGGCACTTGCCCCTCGGGTCCCCTTCCCCACGCGGTGACCCCCACCTCAAGCCGCGCATGTCCCCTCATCCCTGCACTGGCAGCGATGGAAAACACCTTCCTGTCTCCCGTTCCCTTAATTTTGGGGTTCTGAATCCTTAATTTCGGGGTCCTGAACTCCCCGAGCCTGTTCTCAGAGTGCAGTCCCAAGCGGCAGCGTCCCGTTGGGATTCACGGAGCTGGTCGCCCCTCGTTCCTGAGCTCAGGCACTGGGAAAGCTCGAGTGCTCCTGCTCTCCCATGGCTGCGGGAGCAGCCGGCCTTTGTCTGGCCAGGACATCTTAGGCTGGGCTTAATAAATTATTCCTGGGAAAAAAATGCTGGATGGGAAAGAGTGCGGAGGCTCAGGCTCCTCCTGCAGTGCTCCTCTGGCATCTGCGAACAGGGCAGAGAGGATTTAATCTGTGATTCCTGACTCTGGGAAGTGGTCAGGATTTGCTGATCTGAGTGTGAGGTGGTCGGGATTTGCCGATTTGCCATAAAAAAATGTGGAAAATGCTTAGAGAGACCTGAGATAACCTTGGAGATGCCACACCGGGGAAGTGAAACTTGCCACGTTGGCCCTTCACCGTTGTTAAATAGGAAGGAAATCGAGGCAGAGCATTAAAAAAAAAAAGAAAAAAAAAAAAAGAAAAAAAAAAAAGCCTAACCTAAACAAAATGCAGGGAAAACTTCCCAAGGCAGAGCGATCCGTAAGGAAATACGGGCTCGGCTTCTCCCTCCGCTCGCCGGTGGCCCCGGGGTTGTGCAACAGCCCAATCCACGGGAAGGGGTTGTGTAACCCTGGCAGAAATAGGCCAGCGGCACAGCCCGGCCCGGGCTCCGGGCTGCTCACGCCTTCCTTATCGGGAGCTGGAATAATGCAGAGGGAAAGCTTGGATGGAGGAATTCGCCTTCCTTACCCACTGGGAGAAGGGTGTGCGAAGCCTCAGGAACCGGCTGCGTTTCCCTCCCGGCTCCAAAACCCAAATAAAAAAAGTTTGTTGAGAAGCGAGGGAGAAAAAAAAAAGAAATCCAGGCACTGCCGCCTGGAGCTTGGGATACTGAGGGAGATGGCACTGGCCTCCTGGCCGCCTCCACAACTGGATTTCTCTGGGATATTTTTAGACAAATTCCTGTGAATCCTCCCAGTAAGGCAAAGCTGGGAGAAAGCACGGAGCTCAGCTTGGCTCAGGGAGAGGGGGAAGAAGCCAGCTGTCTGACCTGGCTGCTTCCACCATGGGTGTAAAAATTATTCCTGGTTTATAAATCTCCCCAGGCAAAGAGAAAGCCAGGGAGTCCCCAGCACCGGGAGGTGTAGGGGGTGAAATTCTTAGAAAGCTGCGATTTGTTTGGTTGGGTCTTCATATCAAACCCTGTATTTGAGAGTGTATTTGGGAAAAAAAATTGCAGATGGTAGCCTGGGATGTGTTTTCCCTTTGGATCAGGGAGAAAAGGAGCTCAGCAGGGGTAAAAAAGTACCTTTTCCAATAGCTGTGGTTTGTGTCCACCTCAAGGCCTTGAAAATAGCCTCAAAATGGGATTTTTGTTCCCATTCTTGCCATGGAGCTTTACCTGCTCTGCCACTCATCTGGGGGCATATTACCTTCCTCCCCAAGTCCTGCCCTTTTCCTGCCTGGAAAGTGGGTTGTCCAGACTTATCTAACCCCCAAGGGATTGTGCAAACTTTAATTAACCTCGGCAGCGTCCTTTGAGATCCCAGCTTGAAAGTTTGCCGCTGCTGCCCTGCGTTCCCTTGGGATGTGCCGGCTCACCCCAGGCTTCCTGGTCCCTCAGCCTCGTCATACCATGGGAGTGGGGGCTGAGTGTCTCTTCTTCCCCATCCATCCTTCAAAAGAGAAAAACTGGGCATGGAATTGATTTTCCTGCATTTGTGGCTGTCCCCAAGCAGGGGCAGATTTTTCTCTTTTTAGTTTTTCTTTTGCCGAGGGATTAATTTCACCCAGCTGATTCCTCTCTGGCTGCCTCTGTGGATATGGGAGGGACACCTATGGCAAATTCCTGGAAAACCAACTTAAGAGCTTCCCTTGAGGCTGCCGAGGTCAATGGCAGGAGCCAAGGTCAATGTCAGGACATCTTTTCCCACCTTTGGGAAGCCATCCTGTGTCCCCTTGCTCCTCTCCACCTCGTCAAAGCTACCCAGCCTTAGTTTCCCCTCCACAGGGGGATGCTCCCATCATCCAAGGGGGCATTCTTGGGACGAGTGAGGCTTTGCTGTCCAGCAACCGAATGGGATCTCTGTCCCGAAGACCTCCTGGGTTTAACATGGGGAGAAGGACGCTGAGTGGCAGGGACGGGGCAGCTGGATGTCTCCACTTCCAGAACTAGGAGGCAGAGCGTTTTCCTGGCTGAACTGGGTTTTAGTGGGGCTGTAGGGCAGCAGGGTCACCTGAGGATGGGTCGGTGGATGCTCCGTGGTGTCACTTCCTCACCATCAATGCCCAGCCCACCTCCGGCGTGGATCCAGCTGCTGTCCTGGGGCTGAGGATGGGGAGGAACCGGCCGAGCAGGAAACATCTGACTCAGCCGGGTTCGGGATGACTCCGGGCGTGTGTCATCCGAGGCAGGAGGGCACGTGGGCTTGGAGTCGGCGTGGAGGAGCTGAAGGACGTGGGTGCCACCAGGGCCAGGGCTGGGGAGGGTGGGTGCAGCCCAGCATCACCCCTGTGTCACCCATGGGAGGTCGGGGAAGGGGACGAGCCGGTTCCCTGCTCTGAGTCACCTGGGGTGGGAAACAGGGACAGGGACTGAGGATGTGGAACAGGCTCTGCCTTGAGATAGGGAATAAAAACTTTCCAGCGCTGGAGGCCTTCACCCTGCAGCCTCTGCTGCTCCCTCTGCCTTGCTTTCCCCAAATTCCTCATGTCCCACCACAGATTCAGGCGGGGTGGGAGCATGGCTGGTGCTTGCACAGCATTCCTCTCCCAGAGAAGCAGGGAGAGAGACAGCATGCCTTACAACTTCAGGGATTCTTACAAAACATCATGCTTCAAGTTAAAAACTGGGATAGGGAGAGAACTAATTTAAAGAAAATATACTTCCCAGCAAAAATTTTCCTGGAGAGAGGGGTGACAGTGCATGCTGTGGGTTTTGAGGTGTTCCAGCCTTCCTCAAATGTGAACACTGCTCTGTCATCTTAGAGTCAACAAATGTTTGGCTTTGTTGCCAGAAAGGTGAAGAATCTATCCCAGAAAGCAGCCTCCCTCTCCCAGTGTTCTGCTTTTGCTCAAAAAGCTGCTGGAGTTACTCACATCCAGATGGAAAATACAGCAGGGAGATGCTGAGGGATGGGGAACACGTGCTCCCGCTCCAGTTCCTGGCAGCCACGTGGCTCTGGAAAAGGATTCAGAGCAAAACGAAAACAAAAGGCAAACAGTTTCCCCTTCTTGGAAATGGGGGTCATTAATGGGAAAGATGTATCTCAGACCTTATTGCACAGAACAAAGTTCCCCAGGCCCTTCCCCGAGCAGGAAGTGGTGGCACAGTGCCGGAAGCGTCGTCACCCTCAGCAGCCTTGCCTGTGGCCCCGAGAGATGGGGACAGGGTCCCGAGCATCCCTGCAAGGGCAGCGGGTGGGCCAAGGAATTTACAGGATCCTGGAATGGTTTGGGTTGGAAGGGACCTTAAAGCCCACCCAGTGCCACCCCTGCCATGCCAGGGACACCTCCCACTGTCCCAGGTTGCTCCCAGCCCTGTCCAAGCCTGGTCTTGGACACTGCCAGGGATCCAGGGGCAGCCACAGCTTCTCTGGGCACCCTGTGCCAGGGCCTCCCCACCCTTCCAGGGAATAATTCCTTCTCAATATCCCATCCATCCATGCCGTCTGGCAGTGGGAAGTCATTCCCTGTGTCCTGTCCCTCCAGGCCCTTGTCCAAATTCCCCTTCCAGCTCTCCTGGAGCCCCTTAAGGCTTCTCTTCTCCAGGCTGAACAGCCCCAATTCTTTTCTATGGTGAATGGCATTGACTTGGAATTGAGCTATTTGAAGATTAGTTAATTAATATTTCCACAGCACTGATCCCTTGGGGTCCAGGTGCCTTAAGAGGAGTCTTGAGGAGTAGAACAGTGTCCAGCTGCAGCGCTGCACGGGAGCCGTGAGTTCGGAAATCCAAAGCTGGTTTTTGTGTTGTTTAAGCCAGCTCAGGTCACATAGCAGCAGAATTTGGGCAAGCTGAGGTTTCCCAGCGGTGGCCGTGCAGCCGGGACAGGCGACCCTGGGCACCTCTCCAGCATCCGGCATGGAAATGAGCTGAGCCTTGGAGACAGCCTTGAGCCAAGAGATGGGGATTTGCTGGGGTTTGGTTCAAAAACGTGGCATTGAGCTCATTACACCCACAGCTACTCTGAGATCCGGAGCTTTAACACGATGTCCTGGGCTAGGGCATGCCCAGTGCTCCCCAGCTTCCATTCCTTCCTTCTCCCTTCAGTTTGTTTAGATTTCCTCAAGGAAATACCATTATTTAGGCTGGAAGCTTTCCAGAAATTCAATTGCCCCTTTCAGGATCCTAACCTAGTGGCTTTGTTTGTAATTGGCAATCTGACCTAAACTATTCCATACTCTTCAAAAATATTAAAGCAACTGAGAAGGTGTTTTGCCTTGAAAGATGCTCAGACTCTGGCACTGCAGGCTGAATTCCCTGTTTTATCCGTCTTTGTAACAATTTGAGGGGTGCTTGGAGTAACCAACCAGGCCACAGGGTTGGCAAGTTTTGGGAAGGACAGTGGCCATGGACAGTGGTGGGGACCAGGCTCAGCCAGGGTGGTTTCAGTGGGGAAGGAGCTGTCCTGCTGTATGCCCTGACCTGCTTTAGGTGCCAAGTGGGGTGATATCCACGTTGCAAGAAGATGATCCAGGTTTTAAGGGCTTTGGAGATTAGAGGGAGGTCACCCTGTTCCTCAGGCTGAGGTTATTCTTGGTGTGCTGCAGCCTGGAGGACATGGGGGACGTGCTGAGTGGGGCCTGTCCTGGAGGAGGGGTGAAGCCTCGGGGGGTTTCCCTGGGATTTTTGGGTGGGAGGGTCCTCACTGCTGAGGAGCTTTCAGAGCACCCAGCTTCTGTGGGATGAGGACTGTCTGCTCTGGGTTGATGTATGCACTGATAACCCACAGGATAACCCTTGGCACAGCTCAAGTGGAGGTTTCCTACCCTGGGGCTGGAATGGAGGTGAGCTCCAGACCCAGAGCCACCTCTCAGCCAGTTAACTGGAGCTTGCTGGTGCCCGTAACCAGAGCCTCAGCACATGGGAGGGAATTTTCAGCAGATGAAAGCAAACAGGAGGGGAGGGAGGAGAGTGTTTGACTTCCTGCTGCTGGACTGGATAAGGAGAGGCTGGTAAACAACTGGTACCAGGAAATCTCCAGGTTTCCTTCTCCTTGGCTTTTCCCTCGTGTCCATCTGGTCTTCCAGCTCCTGATTTTGGGAAGGAGCTGAAAGTACCAGGAGAGAGGGGGAGGAGGTTTTAACTCAGAGGATGCTGCTCTGCAGGGGATGCAGCATCACTCCTGGAATGTGCTGAGCCAGGCTTTCCTCCATCCTCTGACCTCGCCAAAGGGATCTCAGCTCCTAAATTTCCAACAGAACTCAGGGTGGGGAAAAAAGGATGTGCTGGAGCACCCCGAGCCTGGAACACAGGCAGCCAAAAGTGCAGCTGGGCTGTTGTATCCAGCCCATGGTTGGATGGCACACCTGTGAGCGAGGTCACACTGGGCCTGGTGCAATTACTTGCCCACAAAATGCCCATTTCCTCCAGCACAGCCCATAAAGCACAGCCCGGGCCCTGGTTCCAGTGACCCGGTGTTACGTGCCTGCAGACAGGTGAGTGCACGGGGTGGAGTTTTCCTCTTTACTTCTCAGGGCTTGCAGCTTCCCTTTAATTAGTCCTAAGTGAAGCTAATTGAAACAGGGCATCGTTTGGGAGCGGGCAGTGCCCGCCTCTCTTGCTCCCTGCTCTGGCCAGGCTGCACAGGCAAGCACGGTGCTGTTGGATGGCTGAGGAGGAGCTTTTCCATGCCTTTCCCAGGCAAGACAAGATGTTTTGATTTATAGAAGGGCTTCTCCATATTGTCAGCTCAAGGGTATAACAATTTCCAGGAATAGGGGGTTGGGGTGGATTTCTTCCCTCTCTGGCCATGGCATGTGCTTGTGTCACTCCAGCTCCCACTTCTGTCACCTCAGCGTGGTTTGCTCGAGGGTGTTGAGTAGGTTCTTGGGGTGATCTCAGCAGTGGAGAAATGACAGGGCAGTGGATTCCTGCCGAGCATCCTTGGTGTAGAAAGAGGCCCTGGGGGTCAAGGTCAAGGTGCGTTGATGCCGTGGAATGGGAAGAGCTTTGCACCTGGAAAACCTCCACTGCCGACCTCCTGACTCACTTCTGAGTTTGAATTCCTGCTTCTGTAGCAACCTGTTTGGGTGTCTGTAGGTGACTGAGCGGGAAGATGTTTTGGAGCATCAGGTGCAACTTGTGGTTCAGCATTCCCAGGCTGGCAGAGTCTGGGGAGGGGATGCAGGCTTTGGTGAGCACTTTGGAGAGAGGTGCAGGAGCAGTGGTGGGTGATGCCTTGGATGAGCAATTCCAGCAATGCTGCTATGTCCTGTGCTTTGGGATGGGTCAGAACCTGCTCCTGCTCCTTTTGTCAACCCTAGCAGCCTTGGGAGGGGCTAGATGCTGTCCTGAGCATGTCGTGGGGCCTGTGCCCGTGTCCCCAGCCCTCTGCCTGACCTTTGGGCTTTATCTCCATTTTTCAGGTTGACAAGTACCTGTACCACATGCGGCTCTCTGATGAGACCCTGCTGGAGGTGTCCCAACGGTTTGAGAAGGAGATGGAGAAGGGGCTGGGAGCAGATACCAACCCCACCGCCTCTGTGAAGATGTTGCCCACCTTCGTCAGGTCCACCCCAGATGGGACAGGTACTGTGGGACCAGAGGTGCTCCTTGGAGAGCAGAGGGAGGGCTGGGGATACCTATCCCCCTGGCACTGCCAAAACAGGGATGGCACCCATGGCCACCTTCACTGCTGGCCTCTAGGGCTTGATCCTGCCCAGGCTGAGTGTGGGGACAGGCCTCACTCCCTGCTCTGGACCTGGAGGGGCTCCCAGTTCCTGCTGGCAGGAGAGAGGGAGGGAGAGAAGCCGCCCTCGCGCGCCCTTGCTGGCAGGACAGAGACAGTCACGGGTCCGGCTCATCAGATTGCATTAGCAGTGAGGTGGCAGCGGTGCCAGCACCGTCTGAGTGCCACCAGGGCCCAGCAGGAGCAGGGGCTCTGCAGCCCTCACAATGTGGCTTTTCTGCCTCTCCCCGAGCTGCTCAGGGCACGCTCCAGCCAGGCATATGCTCCTCTCAGCTCAAATAACTGCTCCCTCGGGCATCCATATGGATAAGTTCCTTGTTTCCTCTCCCAGCCCGGTGTTTTGGGAAGGAGCTTGTCTCCATCCCTGCAGCATCACCCCTTGCCCTCAGGTGTGCCCAGGACCCACCAAGTGTTTGGAGCAGTCCTGGCTGCTGAAGGGAAGGAAGGATGGAGTTCTCAGCAGCTGAAGCTGCTCCAGTTCCACACCTGGGCTGGCAGCAGCCTTGGAAAGGGCCCCAGGGATGATTTGGTTGTGTTGGATGCAGTTACTCAGGGCTGGGGTCGCCCTGGTGCTGGTACCTGCACAGGGATCTGTGCAAAACCTCAGTGGCAGACGCTGCTGTCACCAGCAGGAGAGGTAGACAAAGAGGGACAGAGCCCAAATCCCTCATGGCTGCCGGCTGTCTGCTCCCTGGGGGCAAGGACAGAAGTGGACAGAACCATGGAATCACAGAATCATGGAATTGTTTGGACTGGAAAGGCCTCTACGTTGGTCAAGTCCAACCACTCCCCAGCACTGCTAAAGCCACCACTGACCCATGTCCTCAAGTGCCACATCCACAGCTTCTAAATCCCCCAGGGATGGGGACTCCACCCCTGCCCTGGGCAGCTGTACCAGGCCTGAACTGCTGTTTCCATAGAGGAATCTTCCCAATATCCAACCTGAACCTCTCCTGGCACAAATTGAGGCCATTTCCTCTTGTTCTGCCCCTGTTTCCTGGGAGCAGAGCCCAACCCCCACCTGGCTGCACCCTCCAGCCAGAGATGTGTAGGTGCTGACAGAAGGTCTCTGTACCACTGGGCACTGTGAGGTGTTTGCTGGTCACGTCTCAGTGAGTCTGGGGATAGTGGTGGCATCTCCTGCATCCCTGGGGACAAACAGACATCATGGAATGGTTTGGATGGAAAGGGACCTTAAAGCCCATCCAGTGCCATCCCCTGCCATAGGACACCTTCCAGTATCTCAGGGTGCTAATAATATCCAACTAAATCTCCGCTTTTTCAGTTTAAAACCATTCTCCTGTCCTCTCACTACATCCCTGCTAAAAGTCTATCTCCACCTTCCCTAGGAGCCCCTTTAGTCCTTGAAGGATCCCCTGATCTTGGCCCCCCAGCTGCACCTACACCCAAAAGCTGGGCCTGGCTGCCTGCCCTGGGATCAAGATTCCAATCTATTTAAATGTTGGAGAATATTTTTAATTACAGGGATAGCCAGGAGCCGCCCCTGGGCACGGGAACTGGTGCAGCCAAAGGTGCTGGGTGCAGGTGGAGCATGTGTCAGCACTTCCAGCAGCCTGGCCTGCTGTTGGGAGCAGGAGCAATCCCTCTCCATGCCCTTACAAGAGACATCCTTGGCCCCCTTCCCTGTATCCAGCTTCTCCAGTGTCCCAGCTTGCATTTCTCACCCAGGGGAGGGAGGAAAGAGGAACAGCAGCATGGAAAATGTCACAGGAGAGAGATGCTGGGGCAGTCACGGCGCTGCAGCTGCCCGGGGGGGAGACAGGAGTTTTGAGCAAATCCCAGGGAACTAAGCTGGGATTCCCTGTCCAGCTCGAACTGGATCCAGCCTCTGAGTGGAATCAGTGTCCCTTGGGCTTTGGGGAGGGGGCTGGAAGGTGGCATGTCAGGGTTGGGGGCTTGGTGCCAGATCCCTGGCACAGATGGTATGGCAGCAGCTCGGGAGGAGCTCACTGTCCAGGACTACATCTCGCTTCTTCCCTCTTTTTAAAGCTCCTGGGCAAAGTCTGACCTGGGCTGGGCACCTGGGCCAGGTGCCAGCAGCTGCTCCCAGCCCAAGGACAGGATATTCCTCTTCTCCAGCCTTGCTCTACCTGATGCTGGTGCCACAGGGCTCTCAACCCTCCACCTGTAGGATGTCTCTGTCCTCCCTCCCGCCTCCTGCAGCTCCTGGGATGTCTCTGTTCTGGGATTAGACCCTGTTTAATGCCCAGCTCCCAGGATCCAGGGGGATGAGAGGTGCTTATGGAAATACAAGGTCACACCTGCAAGTTAAGCCAAAACACAGCCCTGGCTCCTGGCTCTCGGTGGCTTTGCCATTCCAATGTGGTGTGATAAGAAGGGGGGATTCTGCTTTGAAAGCAAAAACTCTTCTAAAATCAACTTTGGCACCCGCTGGAACAGCACCATGCCGTGCTGGCAGCGAGGTGATGCGGAAATAGATCCCAAATAATTTTTCCTTGGAGCCCAGTGACTCTCCCAAGGGCTTTCCCTGCTCAGTGCAATGAACACCCTCCTCCCTGCTCCATTCCATTCCATTTTTCCAGGCTTTTCCAGAGTCCCCAGGTTTCCTCCTCCACAATGGTGTTGACACAAGGATCTTGTGGTGCATCCTCTGTTAAGCCCCAGCAGCTGATAACCCCAGCCTAGGGCTTTCAGGAGGATGCTGCAGGACTTGGGGGTCAAATCCCTGGAAATCCGAAGGATGTTTCTTGGCAGCACCTTTCCCTTGACTGGTGGGCTCAGCTCCTGCCGATAACTGGCTGCCTCTGCAGGAAAACCAGCTCATGTGGCACAGAGGCTTGAAAGGCTTGAAAAAAAGGCTGTTTCATTCCCAGAGTCGTGTGGTTGGGGATCTACCATGTTCCCAGGAAGGTTTCCCAAGGAAGTCGTGCCCACCCCATCCCTGAAGTGTTCAAGACCAGGTTGGATGGGCCATAGGGCCTGGTCCAGTGAAAGGGCAGGGGAGTGGAACTGAATGGTCCTTAGGGTCCCTTCCAGCCCCAACCATTCCATGGTATCATGATTTAGCTGGAAGGAGGGAGGGGCTGTCAGGGGGTGGCAGTGGGAAGTGCCTGGGTCTGCAACTCCACCTTCTCCTGCATCTCCCCGGAGTCTGGGCCTCCGAGCTTTTCCTCTTCCTCTTTTTAATTAATCCAATTTGCCAGAGGATTCTTAGGCAATGGAATTGCAGTCAGTTGGAAGTCTTGAGGTGGATCTCTGGGGTGGCCAACATGATCCCACACATGCTGCTGTTCCCAGGAGCACAGCAGGTTTTCCAGGCACTCAACTCTCAGCCTTTGCCCAGAGCAAACAGCCCCTGGAACCAGGGCTCTGTGTTTGCCCTTGCTGTTTGGCTTGTGGGCTCAGCACGAGCACTGATATCTTATCACGGGGCCTGGGAGCCCAAATCGGGGGGCAGTGCCCAGACCTGGAGCCCATCACGTGTTCCCAAGATGGCTGGGAATTTTCCAGGGAGAGTTTGCTGCCTTTTTCCTCCTGCAAAGCTGATCCACCCAGGAATTCCCAGGAATTGCCCCCAAGCTGCTTGTGTTCCTCCACTGGTGATGAGCAGGGTGAAGCGATTTGGGGCGAAGTTTGGGTCCCACTGGGGCTCTGTGCTCAGGGCACAGCTGGTCCCACACAGCTCTGGGGCCATGAACCCCCACCAGATGTGTGAGGGCTGGGCAGGACAAGGATGGCCCTCTCCGGGTTCCTCAGCCCTTTTTTTGGGATCCTCCCTGCTTCCCTGCATTGCCTCCAAGGAGCTGAGCAGCCTGTGACCCTGTTGGCTGCAGTGCCCTTATCTCTAACACATTTATCAGCCCCCCTGAGACATTCTCCATGCTCTGGGAAGCTGAGCACAGCGTGGCCCGTGTGAGGGGCAGGACACGGTGCCAGCACTGCCCAGGGCTTCACATCCAGCTCTGCCCTGCTGTGGCCAAGGGTGCTGCCCATGCTGGGCTCACCAGGGACAAGTTGGGAGCTCCTCCAAGGTTTTCCTGGTGTGTTTTCCACGTGAAGAACCGCCGTGGCCATGGCATGCCCCGTGGCTGGCACACAGGCTGCAGAACAAGCTGCCAAACTGGTTTAAAGCTCATTGCTGCAAAGGGTCAAGGGGAGGAGGAGAGAGGAATATCCAAGGACTGGCAGCTCAGTGCCCTGGTGGCTCTGTGCTCGTCGGTGATGCTCTGTCATGCTCTGACCCCTCTTTTGGTGATGTTCTGGACGCCCAGGGTGCTTCCCTGACTCCCGGGTGCACTCTCCATGCCCAGCTCTGATCCCACTGAAGCCGCACTTGGAGCCCTCTCATTCATTCCTCATCCCCTTGGAGTACAGCAGCCGCTTTCCATGGCCCTTTTCCACCGCCACAGAGCTGCTCCAGCTCCCAGCCGGGGCCATGCCCCGTTCCCTCGCCCCAGCCCTCGGAGGGTCAGCCCAGGAAAGCGGCCGGGCCTGATGGAGCCGCGGGGGCTGGCCCGGAGCTGCCTTTTCAGCTGGAGTCACTGGAGATGTGCATACTAATGACCCGCGGGTTTTGTTCCCTTTGTGCCGCACAAAGCACGGCCGGGGGAACCAGCACAGCACATTTGGTGCATTCAGGACTCCAGAGTGCTGATAGAGGGCTTTCCCCGGCCCTCTCCCCACCGAAACAGCCAGCTGGGCGCTTTTCCCGTGCCCGGCGCCCCAGCGCAGCGAGCTGCCTTGAAAACAAATGGGAGGGACACTCGGGGCTCGGCCCTCGGGCTCCCCTCGGAGAAGTGTCCCAGCTCTCCCTGGAGAAGGCAGCAAAGAGGTCCCGAAGCTCTTTGGGAGCTTCTCCCTCCCTGGTTTCCTGCTGCCACCTTCCCGTGTAGCCGGCAGCCACATGCCAGGAGCGCGTGGGATTCCTGAGAGCCTGGCCTGGGCTGTGGAGGCTGCGCCTGAACAGGACGGGGGTTGAGTATAGGAAAAACTTAGCCAAGCTCCGGTGTTCCCATAGCTACCACCAGGGCTTAACCTCTTGGGATGGAGGTTTAGGAGCTTCCATAAGCATCAGTAGGGTCAGGAATGGCTCTGCTGCCTTCTTCCAGATGGAGCCTGAGGCTAGAGCCCATCTTCCCTGGGATCCCTGTTGGTTTGGGTTTGGGCTTTTCTGGATGGGGCTGGTGGGATTTATCCTCCTGCCACATCCTCCCCAAGGCATCTGGATCTGGCTCAGTGATGTTCAAAATATTGATCCTGTATTGGGTGTGGGGGGCAGGGGACAGAGGAGGGGCAGGGAACACAGTGGCTGCTCCAATAAAATAGAAAAAAAAATATAATACTGAATAAAATAATGAAATACAATAAAAAAACTGATCTTACCCTTGTACCTGGGAGGGGACTGATTACCTCAGGGCTCTGGCTGGTGTGGACAGACCCTCCAGGTTAATGGGGTGTCCTTGTCCTGGTGCCACAGAGGACGGGGACTTCCTGGCGCTGGACCTTGGTGGCACCAACTTCCGCGTGCTGCGGGTGAAAGTGTCGGACAATGGGCTGCGGAAGGTTGAGATGGAGAACCAGATCTATGCCATCCCCGAGGAGCTCATGCGTGGCAGCGGGGTGCAGGTGAGTCCCTACTGTGTCCTGGGGCTGCAGCAGCACTGGGCCAGGGGATCCTGCTGGATCTTGTGCTGGGAGCTGTGAATTCCTGGCCGCCAGCATGGTGAGGAGTGGAGGCAGGCAGGGATGCAGGCATGGCATGTCCTGGGAGTGGGCAGCCAGGTCAGGTCTCGCTCTTTACCTTTTTACCAGCTTTTCGACCACATTGCTGAGTGTTTGGCCAACTTCCTGGACAAGCTGCAAATCAAAGACAAGAAACTCCCCCTTGGATTCACCTTCTCCTTCCCGTGTCACCAGACCAAGCTGGACGAGGTGGGTGAGGGGCTGGGCTGGGACAGGCTGAACTCTCGCTGTAAGTTCCACACCAGTTTAAGATTAGGCTTTTAATTAGGCTCATTGATTTTAGGTCATGTGACCTTTTCCTCATCAAGGGCCACATCTTTCATTCCTGTAAAACCATTCCCCAAGCTCTAGGTGAGAGGAGTTTAGGATCAGCACTGTCCTTATATTTTTATGAATATTTTTTTGTCGACTCAGTGGCTGCTGGGTCAGAGACAGAGAGGATGGAACATTCCTTCAGGAAATGCAGAGCGTGGCATCACTTCCCAATAACCTTGTTGCTTGTCATCTTCTCCAAACACACTATCAACCCCGTTTAAACGAAAATTAATGTTTGCTAAGGATATGTGCCAGACTGCCTTTTTTAAAGCTGTTTGGTGATAATAAGTTGTGTTGAATCTCCCGTTTTACACACATCTGGCCAGGTTTTCATAGCAGCCTGGAGTGGTTTGGGTTGAAAGGGACCTTAAGGACCATTCAGAGTTCCACTTCCCTGCCATGAGCAGGGTCACCTTCCACTCTCCCAGGTTGCTCCAAGCCCTGTTCAATCTGGCCTCGAATACTTCCAGGGATCCAGGGGCAGCCACAGCTGCTGTGGACAACCTGTGCCAGGGCCCCTCCCCACCCTGAGTTTCTGGATTTCCCCTAATTTATCTTGAGGGTTTTTCAGATACCACCCATGTGTGAACTTTGACAGGGTCCTCGTGGCCCAGGGTCGCCGTGTGTGTGCCAGCAGGGTATGGTGCTGGCCGAGCCAGGGATGTGTCCCAGTATCTGCAGGGGTTTGGGAGCCCATGTTTCCCTGAGATGCTTCCATGGAAAGCAGCTTTTCCCTGGCTGCACCAGAGCTGCAGCCCCAGACGTGCCGAGCATCACATCCCCCTGTGCAGCCAGCGCGGGGAGGGCAGTCCCTGTCCCGTCTGCCAGCCGCGGGCTCCGATGGCTGTCACTGTCACTGTCAGCTGTGACCTTGCCGGGAGACCAAACATCCCCGAGCCCAGTGAGGCACGTGGCCTCGCTGCCGCCCTCCCTGGCTCGCAGGCTTGCTCCGCCCAGAAGGGCGATGCTCGTGCTGGCTCTCCTTGCCCTGATCTCACCACGGGTGATGCTCGTGCTCGCTCTCCTTGCCCTGATCTCACCACAGCTCGGGCAGTGGCGGCTCCATGGAGCGCGGCAGCCCCGGCACGTCCTCCTGCATGGGAAGCGGCTCCAGCAGGGATTAACGCTTTCCTCCTGCAGGCACAGGGCTGTAAGGAATGGGAAAATACAGAGGCTGCAGGAGGCAGCGTCTGTGCCCTCGCCCGGGCTGTGTCGCTCAGTGCCTCAGTTTCCCCAGCTGTAAGGCAGGGTGGGTGTCTGCCTCTCTAAGGGGGCTGTGGCCACAGGGTTGAAGATTTCAAATGTAATTGATGTAATTTTCCTCCCCCCAAGGCTCAGCTTAGCCCCTGGCCAGGTGCGTCTGACCACAGAGGTACAGCGAGCCCCCCCACCCCACAGGGAAGGCTCAAGGATCAGTCCATAGGTACAGTGAGCCCCACACCCCACAGGGATGGGTCAAGGAGAATTCCTTGGGCTTGTGAACGGGTTCCAATGAGCCTCTCAACCCCCAGGTGTGGGTCAAGGAGCATTCCTTGGGCTTGTGAGCAGGTTTTGCTGCAGGGCTCAATCAAACCCGGTCACGGGAACCAGGTTCCTCCTGCCAGAGGAGCAATGAGCAGCTCACATGTTATTTTGTGGCCATAAACTTTATCTGACGCGGAAGCTGTGGCTGATAGTGCAGCTGGGGAACTGATAACAGGGGGCTCCCCCTGTAGGGCGACACGTCCCCTGTGCCAGCAGCTTGGTGTCACCTCCAAGCTTTCCTCTTGCTGTTTCCCTGCAGAGCATCCTGGTGACGTGGACGAAGGGGTTCAAGTGCAGCAGCGTGGAGGGGAGGGACGTGGTGTCACTGCTGCGCAAGTCCATCAAGAAAAGAGGGGTAAGAGGCTGGGATGGGGGCACACAGTTCCCTGGCACAGGAGTCTTTGGCTCCGTGAAGATGGTTTGGCCTGTTTTGTCTCCAATGGGTCACCCTCTCTTGTTTCCACCATCTCAGGACTTTGACATTGACATTGTGGCCGTGGTGAATGACACCGTGGGAACCATGATGACCTGTGGCTACGATGACCACAACTGTGAAGTTGGCCTCATTGTTGGTGAGCTGCAGCAAGGGGGAAGAGCTGGACTCCATCCCTCCAGAAAAGCCAGAGGGAGATCCTGTGTCTTGCAGGCCCTGGGGTCTTTGGGGAAAAAAGAGAGTGGGATATCAGTGTTGGAAAACCAGCATTGTCCAATGTTTGTTTGCTTAGTTCTTCACTTTCTTTGGTGCACTGGGCTGTGACCAAAGGGAAATTGGGAATAATGAGAATGTAGAATAATGGGAATGAGGGAAAGGCCATGTCCTTGCTCACCCTGTTCCTGTGCTTGGCCCAGGTACTGGTACCAACGCCTGCTACATGGAGGAGATGAGGCACATTGACCTGGTGGAAGGGGATGAAGGTCGGATGTGTATCAACATGGAGTGGGGGGCCTTTGGTGACGATGGGGTGCTCAATGACATCCGCACCGAGTTCGACCGTGAGATCGACATGGGCTCGCTCAACCCTGGCAAACAATTGTGAGCAGATTCTTGGCTCAGGCTCAGGCTTGTGCTTTGCTCAGCATTGTCTGTCCTCCCATAGCGCTGGTGTTACTGGGACTGGGGAGGTCAGCCCAGCTAACTGGGTCACCACGTCCTCTGTTACTGGTGGAGAGAGGGGCTGTGTCTCAAACCAGGGCTTGTGTCCCAGCCCAGGACCGTATTCCAAACCAGGGCTGTCTGCCCCACATGCTGCCCTTGTGAGCCCCTCATGTGAATGTGCTGGTTCCTGTTCCCTTCCTGGCCAGCAAAGTCACACACCCTCAACTAATGTCCATCCCAATCCTACAGATCTCCCATTCCCTACAGGGCTGCTGTGGCATGGGGGTGATCTGGGGGCCCCTGCAAACTGACTGAGCCCCTTCAGGTGGCCATGAGTTTTCTTTGCAGAATGATGGTCATGTACACATGGCTTCATATTCCCAGTGAAGGGATAAACTGCTCTGGGAAGAGATTACCTAGATTCTATTGGGGTGGGAGGCTGCCAAGGGGTTTTCAAGTCAGCCTGTGGCCACCTTGTGACACACACACATCATTTATCCTGGAGAAAAGGAGGCTCAGGAGGGAGCTTATGGCAAGATAGGAGAGGTTTAGGTTGGCTATTAGGGAAGATTTCTGCTCTGAAAGGGTAGTCAGGTTTGCCTAGGGCAGTGGTGGCGTCATCATCTCTGGAGGGATTTAACAGCTCTGTGGATGCGGCACTTGAGGACATAGGTTAGTGGTGGCCTTGGCAGTGCTGGTGAATGGTTGGACATGATAACCTTAGAGGGCTTTTCCAGCCCAAACCATTCCCTGATTCTATCTCATGCCTCCCCATGGGCAGGTTTGAGAAGATGATCAGCGGGATGTACATGGGGGAGCTCGTCAGGCTCATCCTGGTGAAGATGACCAAGGAAGGGCTGTTGTTTGGGGGAAGGCTTACGCCGGATCTGCTCACCACTGGCCACTTTGAGACCAGATTTGTCTCTGCCATTGAGAAGTAAGTAGAATCCTGGGGTTTCCTGGCTCCCAGCCCATCTCCCATCATCACTGAGCAAACCTGGACCACCACACAGCAAAAACTGGGTTCCCAGGCATGAACCCCTTTTTGTCCTTCCAGGGAGAAGGAAGGGCTGCAGAAAGCCCATGAGATCCTGAGCAAGCTGGGCCTGGAGCCGTCGCACGAGGACTGCCTGGCCACGCTGCGCATCTGCCAGATCGTGTCGACGCGTTCGGCCAGCCTGTGCGGGGCCACGCTGGCCGCGGTGCTGCGCCGCATCAAGGACAACAAGGGCGTGGAGCGCTTGCGCTCTACCGTGGGCGTGGACGGCTCCGTCTACAAGAAACACCCGCAGTGAGTCCGGGCTGGGACAGGGATCTGGGGGTGCTGGGGACAGACACAGACAGGGATCTGCTGCTGCCAGCAGTGTGTACAGCTTGGCACAGGAGAAGCACCTCCAAATATCTCCTTGGGCACCTCGTTTGGATGCCAGGGGGTTCCCAGAGGGTCACACTCAGGTCCCCTTTCTTCCTCCTGCACAGCTTTGCCCGCCGCCTCCACAAGACCGTGCGGAAGCTGCTGCCGGACTGCGAGATCCGGTTCATCCGCTCGGAGGACGGGAGCGGCAAAGGGGCGGCCATGGTGACAGCGGTGGCCTACAGGCTCGCTGCACAGCACAAGGCTCGGCAGAAGATCCTGGAGCCCTTCAAGCTGAGCCACGAGCAGCTGCTGGAGGTGAAGGGAAGGATGAGGATAGAGATGGAGAAAGGGCTGGGCAAGGAGACGCACGCAGAGGCAACGGTGAAAATGCTGCCGACCTATGTGTGCTCCACTCCCGATGGAACAGGTGATGTATCCTGTGTAAAACTTCTGTGTGTGAGCCCATGGATCTCCTGCATCCTTGGGAGTGGCTGAATCCACTGTGGCCGGTTCTTCTTTGTGGTGGGAGTGGCACAAACCTCCAGTTTGATCCTGGGTAAAGCACTGAGCCTCTGGGACGTTCTGCACCTGACTTAACACAAAGCCTGGTTCTGCATGGCCACAAATCCTGCCACAGGATTCTCTCCGCCCCCATTCTGGGTTGTGGCCTTGGTTCTTCCTGTGGCTTGGGCGAGTGCCTGACCTTGGCTTGAAACTTGTGCAGGTCCTGTGCAGGGCCAGGAGCTGGACTTCAGTGATCCTTGTGGGTCCCATCCAACTCAGGTTTATGATTTGAAGTCTCATCATCACCCCAAGTCTGGATCAAACCTCTGCATCCTCTTCCTACCTGCCCCCCCTGTTCCTACCTGCATCCCCAGTCTCCATCCCTAGCCATGTCTCCGTTTCCATCCCTCTCCCTGGAAGAGGGCAGATTCATATTTGCTCTGTGCTACATCCTGGATGCCCCGTGCTGGGATGACTCCTGATGATCTTCTCGGGTGATGTCTCCTGATGATCCTCTCTTGGGTTGCAGAAAAGGGAGATTTCCTTGCCCTGGACCTGGGAGGAACCAACTTCCGTGTGCTGCTGGTGCGCGTCAGGAACGGGATGCGGCGCGGGGTGGAGATGCACAACAAGATCTACTCCATCCCCGTGGAGATCATGCAGGGGACGGGAGAGGAGGTCAGGATGGGCAAAGAGAGAGGGGAAAGGGGCATCTTCCCTGGGGTGGCTGGAGCAGGGCTGACCATGGAGCTGGTTTTACCTTTCCAGGGAGCGAAACCAGGAGTGGGGAGGGCTGGTGCTCTCCTGCCCTTAGAGCAGTGAGTGCTGCCCAAGGCTCTGGAGTTTGGGAAGCTGGAAAATGGTTTTTAGGTTAGAAATGGTGCTATTCCCAGACATGACTGAACCTCCCCAAATCCCACATGCTCCACAAGAGCAGATAAGCATCATCCTCATTTCCCAGATAGGGAAACCACAACACAAGCCATGAGAAATGTCGCTGGAGACACATTTGGAAAGAGTTTTGCAAACCACTCCAGGCAGTGCTTGGGGACTGGGAGTATCTCCAGCAGACTGGGCTGGAGGGCTGTGGGGATCCTTTGCAGAGGGACTGGATTCCCATGTCACTTACCTCTTGGAACCTGCAAGGTGGAGACAATGCAGAGTTTGGCCATGCTGTGGGTGGGGAAGAGGGTGAAACTGAGCTTTTTGGGGTTGCTCACTTCCTACAGTGCAGCTGAGCCTTGTCCTGCTCCATTCAGAGTCCTGGGAGTGATTTGAACATTCCAACAGGCCTGGGAATGGGTTGGAATCCCCAGCAGTTTGGGCAGGCTGGCTTCCAGCTGGGCTCTGGCTGTGGTGGTAGCTTTTCCTTTTGACTTTGCTTGTCCAGCTCTTTGACCACATCGTCCACTGCATCTCCGACTTCCTGGAGTACATGGGAATGAAGGGCGTATCGCTCCCGCTTGGATTCACCTTCTCCTTCCCCTGCCAGCAGAACAACCTGGATGAGGTAACCCCACCCCTCCTGGCAGCATCCCTGGCTGGTACCTGGCTGTGCCTCCCAGCTGCTATTGAGGAAGACTCACTGGGGGGTTTTTCCCACAACAGGGAATTCTCCTGAAGTGGACAAAAGGTTTCAAGGCGACGGGCTGTGAGGGAGAGGACGTGGTGGGCCTGCTGAAGGAGGCCATTCACAGGAGAGAGGTGAGCAGCCACGGGGCTGGGAGAAGCCAGTGACTGCTCCCACATCCTGGCTCTTTTTAGCATCATTAATTGGCCTGTAAAACAAATTACTGGGCTGAGCTCAGGGTAATGACTGTCGGAATTTTCACAGCCACCCTTACTCATCACTTGAGGTTGGATTTTCAGACCCTGGAGCTATGGGCTGGCTCCTGGCCAGGGCTGAAGCACACTTGTTTGGCTCTGAGCTCAGGAGACACGGGCTCGTTTCCTCGGCACAGACCACCCCAAGCTCCTGCCCAGGGGCTACTCCTGGCAGGGCTGACCCAGCCCTTTGGCAGCTGGAGGTGTCTGAGGTCTGAGCTCTGCCAGCAGACAGGTGGGGCTGTGGGAAGTCCATGGTTGCCTCCGTGTCTGTGGAGGTGGATGGTCATGGAAGACAAGGAAGACAACAGTTTTAGACTAAAAGAGGAGAGATTTAGGTTGGATATTGGGAAGAAATTCCTCCCTGTGAGGGTGGGGAGGCCCTGGCGCAGGGTGCCCAGAGAAGCTGTGGCTGCCCCTGAATCCCTGGAAGTGCCCAAGGCCAGGTTGGATGGAACTTGGAGCAGCCTGTGGATAGTGGAAGGGGGTAGAATGGGATGGGCTTTAAAGACCTTTCCAGCCCAGACCATTCCATGATTCTGTGACTCTATGACTGCCACACTCACCAGACAGACAGGTCCTTTCCCAGCCATGGGAGCAGACTTAGCAGGAATTCCAAGTTCTCCAGGAATAACTCGTGCAATCCATCCCTCTGCAGGAATTTGACCTGGACGTGGTGGCAGTGGTAAATGACACAGTTGGCACCATGATGACCTGTGGGTACGAGGATCCCTACTGTGAAGTTGGGCTTATTGTTGGTAAGAACTGAAAGTTCATTTCAGAGCTCCTGGTCTGTGGTCCCACACCTGCCCCGTGAGGCGTGGGAGGTATCCCAGGGCTCTGATCCCGCTCCTCTCCGCAGGCACAGGCAGCAATGCCTGCTACATGGAGGAAATGAGGAATGTGGAGCTGGTGGAAGGGGACGAGGGCAGGATGTGTGTCAACATGGAGTGGGGGGCCTTCGGGGACAGCGGGTGCCTGGATGACATTCGGACGGAGTTCGACGTGGCGGTGGATGAGCTGTCCCTCAACCCTGGGAAGCAGAGGTGGGTGGTGGCTTTGGGGGGCTGAAAGGGACACTAATGAGGGTCCAGGAGCAGTTCTGCCCCACCAGCCCCTTGATGGATCCAGGGGATGATGAGCAGGACACACATGTGTCCTGTGTCCCTTGTCCCCTGCCCGTGGGTGCGGGCTGTGCTGCTGGGCTTGCTGAAAGGATTGTACTGAAGGCACCTGGCAGAGCTGGAATCCCCATCCAGTCCCAGTGTCCCTTCCTGTTATGATGTCCAGCCTCGTCCTCTCCTTCCCAGGTATGAGAAGATGATCAGTGGGATGTACCTGGGGGAAATCGTCCGCAACATCCTGATAGACTTCACCAAGAGAGGGCTCCTCTTCCGGGGACGGATCTCGGAGAGGCTGAAGACTAGAGGGATCTTTGAGACCAAGTTCCTGTCCCAGATAGAGAGGTGAGGTCCAACAGGGAGTGAGCACCAGCTGACAATCAGAGCAAAGATGGAATTTGGGGAAAGTGCCCCCAGGGCTGATTGGAGAAGTTCCACCTGCTTGGTCTGGAGCCAAGGTGATGCAGGATGGTGCCACACCGATAAATCAGCAGAGCCCACGTGGTTCTGGCAGCACCAGTGTGGGAGACAAGGGGGCTGGCTGGGGCTGGCAGCACAGATGGCTCTTTATCCTGGGCAGAGAGGGGCCGTGGGTTACAGGGGTGTCACACTCCACTGGCTTTGTTCTGAAATAGCCTCCCTGATGAGGATGTGACACCAGGCCACATCCAACTCTGAAAGCTGAGCTTGAAGGCAGGCTGCAGGGTCGCCCCAGGCACTGTCACCCAAGCCACGAGTCCCTGGGCTCTGCAATATGTAGCTCAGGAAGGGGAAGCCACACATCCCAGCTGCTCCATCTCCTAACGCTTCCCATGCCCGTGTCCTCCCCAGTGACTGCCTGGCCCTGCTCCAGGTGCGCTCCATCCTGCAGCACCTGGGCCTGGAGTCCACATGTGACGACAGCATCATCGTGAAGGAGGTGTGCACGGTGGTGGCGCGGCGCGCTGCACAGCTCTGCGGCGCCGGCATGGCCGCCGTGGTGGACAAGATCCGCGAGAACCGCGGCCTGGACTTCCTCAAAGTCACCGTTGGCGTGGACGGGACGCTCTACAAGCTGCACCCTCAGTGAGTGGCTCTGGTTGTGCTCCAAGGGGGCTGCCCAAGGACACCTGTCTGCCCTGGGCAGTTGGGGGGCTCTGGAGGAAGGTTCGGGGGATAATGGGGGAGTTTGAGGTGTTTCAGGGGCTCGAGGGCTGCCAGGAGCCCACTGACACAAACCTAAGGCCCAGCAGGAGTCAGCTGCTCTCTTAAGGACAGGGGCTCCTCCAGTCCCACTGGACCTGACCCAGACGTGGTGACCAGGTTCAGCCAGGGCTCCAAATCATGGCATGAGGCAGCTCTAACCAGCAATGAGCAGGATCATGAGGGTTCATGGCTGCACAGAAAGTTGCCCATGCCAGAGCTGGCCGGCTGGTGCTGCTGGACAGTGGAGGTCAGATAGGGACTAAGGCACTGAGCTGAGCTTAAGGGCTCAGGGAGCAAAGTGAGTCACCGAAGACTCTCCCCAGATGGGGCTGGTCAGGGCGACTGAAGCTCCTTAGGGCTCTCAGGGCTTGGTGGGATTGAGAAGGGGCTGGGTTTCATCCTGAGTGAAGGCACAGCACGGTTGTGTTGTAACTATGGGCTTGGGCTAAGTGTGGAGACTTGGGCTTTCTAAGCTTCATCCCTAGCAGCTCTGTCTCCATCCATCCATCCATCCATCCATCCATCCATCCATCCATCCATCCATCCATCCTTCTCCTTGGAGTCTGTGTTGCCCTTTGAAGCAAGGCAGATCAGGGGTTGGGACTGACACCTTCACCCCACTTTTGGCTAATTCAGAACCTCTCCCTCCCCTTGCCCTGCAGCTTCTCCAACATCCTGCACGAGACAGTGAAGCAGCTGTCCCCCAAGTGTGAAGTGACCTTCCTGCAGTCAGAGGACGGCAGCGGCAAAGGTGCCGCGCTCATCACGGCCGTGGCCTGCCGCATCCGCGAGGCCGGGCAGCGGTAGAGGGAAGCAGGTTTGCCCAAGAGCTTGGTTTTAGCAAAACAGGACGTTTCCTCACCCAGTCCCTCCCTCTCTGCACACACTCACACACCCATGCACCCCCTCCCCTCCAAGCAGACTCATAACTTTACTTGTTTTCCGAGGCACCACGGTGGGACTGGAGATGCCGTGGGCTCTGTACAAAGTGTTGTCGTAGGAGTTTCCTTGCATGCCATAAAACCACCTGTTGAGTAAAGCTCACACTGTCTTTTGGCTTCTCCCTGCATTTCCAGGTGGAGCTGGAGCTCTCCCATGTGCAGCCTCCATCACACCCCAGCTCTCCTCCCACACTCCGAACCACTGTCCCTCCCCTAACAGCAATAGGGATAACACTTGGATAATTAAGACACTGCATTGTCACTTTAACAGTACCTATTTATGTATGTTGGAGTCGTAGCTGTCCGTGCTGTAGAAGCAAACCTCTAAGATTGGGCTAAAGACCTCCACTAGTCTTTTACCCTGATCAAGGCTGTATTATTTCCATGAAAGTCATGGTAACTCTTAAAGCACAGGGTGCAGAATTCCACCGGCGTGTCCGCGGCTGCACTGGAGGTACCACGTATCTCCCTTGGTGAGCAATACTAGAGAACCTGCTGGAACCAGGCCAGGGGTGCCCCTCGGCCCATTCTGGCAGAGCATGTGCCTGGAAATAATTGGGGACTCAGGGTCTAATCCCATTTCCTGACCTCTCGCCTGCACCCTGAGTAGCCTGTAGGAACATGGCGTGTATGTAGGGTTGTGTTTCACCCCTGGACACCACTACCCCTTCCCTGGTGCATGTGTGGGCACGAGGAGCTGCTGCCACGGGTTGGTGTCTCCCCTGCCAAGCCCCAAACTCGTGGCCGTGTGTCTACCCTTGGCGTGGAGAGTCTGGTTTGCTTTGTGTCTGTGAAATAGTTCTGTGGCTGCAGCCTTTACGTGGTACCTGGATTTATACACTGTATATTTATGTTTTAAGAGATCTGATGTCTTTTTATGTACATAGTCTCGGGGGGGTTGTATCACTTAGTTTTAACATCACCTTTTCATGTTGTTGAAGAACAGTACAGAGTAATTATTTTTTTTTCTTCTGTTGTGTAATTTTTTTTTAATTTAAAATTTTCTTGGGGTAGACTGGAGAAGGAGACCCAAATACCTGAGGAATGTTGTACAAGAGGTTTGGGCATTCTGACCTTATCACCAGGACAAAAGGGAAAGCAGAAAGCCAGGGAAGCAGTGTGCAGGATCGGCAGGGACCTGTGGTGATGCTGTCAGGTTCAGGCTGGGTTTAACATTAGGAGAGGTTTTATTTTGTCCCCTGCCCTCCCCAGCCACGCTCTGGAAGGTCACATCCATGGGTGGATGACATAACCCAGGGCCCTGCAGGGCTCTCGACCTCACGTCACCATCGTGGTCAAGCGCTGGCAGCAGCCAAGCCGAGCTCAGGTCTCGGTGACAGCAGCTAGTGCCACTCCATCCCCATGTGGCATTCTCAGAGCTGCCTGGCAGCGGTCCCAGGGACCCCCGTGCCCACAGCAGCACTTGTGTGCCATGGCCAAACGCAGGAATCCATTTTTGCCAACAGGAAACTCTAGATGAACTAAAAGCTGCAGGTCTCTGCCTCAGTGAGCAAAGACAGACGGGGGGAGGAGGGTTTCTGTAAATATTTAGCAGAAGTTAATGAAATTTCAGTGATGTACAAAAGAAAATAATAACTAATAATCCCCACAAACAGCCCTTCAGATTGGAGGATAGAGTTTTTGTCTATTTTTATGTATATTTTTATACTGCTTGGGGTAACCTCATTACCAAAAGTCTCTCTTCTGTGTTGGGGGTCAATTTCAGTAGCACAATTTTAAAGCAAAAATTACTCTTTTGGGCATTTTAAATGCTTATTTTTTTATAAGCCTCAAGACAATTATAACACATAAAATCTATGTATAGAAATGATGTAAGAAACCAAGTGTAGTGGAAGTTTTAGAAGCTGTCAAATAAATCTTTGAAGGATGATACAGAAAACCTCTAATCTGGTACCAAGCAGTTTTGTGTGATTTTTTTCCTCAGAAAATCGGCATTTTGCCTACTGAAAAATCAAAACAGAAATCTTTTTAGCTGCTGCACTGTGCAGAGTTGCATTAGTGGCTGCTTTTACTCTTAGCCAGCTGTACCCCTTCTGAAATCCATAGTGTTTTCATCAGTTAGTGAGTGAAATTTTATACAACAGTAGTTTTGGGGGCAGAATGGGAAGATTAGGGACCTGAGCAGCCCTGCTTTTGATTCAGGCTGTATTGGAGCAGGGGACTGACAGGGTGAGAGGGAAACTGGGGAGCTGAGGTCCCTGGCCTGGAGCAGGGTCACCACAGTCCCCTCACCTGTCTGGGTGAGGAAGGATCACTCTGAGCTTGCAGGGTGGTGGTGAATTTTTGGCTGGACTTGGTCACAGGGATACTCACCTGGGTATCCAAGGCTCCCATAATGCTGGAAAGCTTTAGCTTAGGCTCAGAATCAAGCAGGGTCTGGAGTGCTCCCAGTTAAAAGCAGTACTTGAAGTGTTACAAGACACCTGTGTTACCTGTGGGTGCAGATCCGCCCTCCCCGAGGCTGCAGGGAGGGTTTGGGGAACACCTGGAGCAGTTTGTGCTCCTTGGGGTCCCCAGGGGCATAAGCACTGCAGGTGTTGGATGTACAGTCTTACTCTGAGGGCTGGGACTAGAACCTCATGCCAAAACATTGCCATGGGATGTTCTGTGAATGTGTTTAAAATGAAGAAGGGAAGATTAAATCCTAATTATTGATATGAAGGGAAGATCAAATGATTATCTGTAGGGACAGAGAGAGACAGAGACTGCTCAGCCTGATTTGCCCAGTCTGCATCTTCCCTGCAGCAAGCGCTGCTCTGTGGATTTAGGATGATTTTGTTTTGCTTGGTTGTTCCCATCTGGATGCATTTTCTTTGCGCTCTCGGGGTGCTGGAATGTTCTCTGGCCACGCAGGCAGCAGGGAACAAGAATCTCTGCCCTTCCCTCCCTGGCAAATCTCTCCTCACTGGTACTTTGGACAGGATTTAATTGGGTTTTGAATATATATGTAGATACATATAAACACAATCAGCAAATTACTGAGCCTTTCAAGGAGAATTTGCCTCTTCCCTTCCTGGAGTCCAAGGCTGGGAGGGTGAAGCTCCTGCTGAGTGGCCTAAGGGCTATCAGTGGGGCACAGATCTCTGGTCTGGCAGCAGCTCGGGTGCAGTTTGACCCGAGATAACTCGAGATAACTCGGTGCCTGCTCTCCCTTATCAGGCAATCCAAACCCATCTGGCTGTCAGAGAGATAAGGGGGTGAAAGGTCCAAGTGCATGGGAGGGGAGAGGTGTAAAATGGTGGTAAAACGCACCCTGCAGGGGTTGTGGGGTCCAAGGTAACAACAAAATAACCTGGAATGTGGGAAGCTCTTGCCCCAGTCCACACCCCACCCCTCCAGATAAGGAAAATGCCTGCTTTGGGCAGATCATTCACTTCTCTGGTGGAAAAATGGGCACTGAAGGCAAAAAGAGGCAATTCCTGTTCTAAAGGTAATTTGGAGAGAGGAAAATTCTTCCTCTTGTGACACCCCTGACCAGTCTGAAATCTTCCTGGCCTGAAGCAAAGACAATGCATCCTGATGTGGGCGCTGGCTCCGTGCAGGCAGGGGAGTCATAAAGCCAAAGACTGTGCAGCTGCTGGCAGAAACGAGTGCTGTAGATTCACCTGATGTTGTTCTTTCGTGTTTACAATATTTATTTTTAGCAATTGACTGCAATGATATTATATATAGGCTTCCTTATTTTTGTACTTTTCATACCGTTTTCCTGAGTGTGGTGTTGTACTGCTCAGTTCCCCTCGGCCACCGCTGCTGCTCCTAGTCAGTGACAATAAACGAGAAAAACAACCACCACCCATTTTTGGGATCAGTGTCGTGTGTTTTGGCCTCTGTGCTCCCCTCTCCTCTTTAGCAATCCCTGAGGAAGGGCACCTGTGCCCACCCCATCCCCAAATCCCCTATCCTAGCCCCTGGGAAGGGGGTTGTTCCCTTGCACTGCGTGCCCCCACAGCCCTGAGGGCACAGGGAGACCCAGGACACACAGGGATCAAGGGAAGGGGTTGTTGCGTGGAAAAAAAATACCAAGATGAGTTTCCTGCTCCACATCCCACATCCTGGTGACACTGGGTGGGTCCCAGCAGGGGGGGAGAGCCCTGGGATCCAGAGGGCAGAGTGGGATCAGGCCCTGGCAGGGATGCAAAGCCCTGCACAGCTCAATCCACCCTCAGCTCAGACTCTGATGTGCTGCAAAAAAACACCTGTTCTCTCTGCCATTAGCCAGCAGCTCGTTGCTCTCCTCGGAATTAATTTTAAGGAGTGGGTACTTCTAATTAAAACAAGAGTAAAGTATCTAAATACAATTAATTCAATAAATAAATTCATTGCCGCAGCAGCTGAACACCTGAAAATGCTCTCTGCTGCCAAAGCTGTGACACAACACAAGATTCACACTGAGGTGCTGAATCCACAGGGTGAATCCAACACAAAAAGCTATTCCCAGCAGGAAAGGACAGACATGGGCAAGTATTCCACTTGAAATCATTTATTGACACATTGCCCGACACATTTTTATCCTTGTTATAAGTACAAATGGTTTTATATTTTTCTGACATTAAAAAAATAGGCTGACGAGGCAAAATTCCCAGTTTGAATCAAAACATCCTGCTGTTAAGAATTCAAAATTGTAAGAGATAAAACCCAACAAAGACTGAACAGAGTGTACCATGACACGACTCATCTGTCAAACCAAGTGGAGAGGAATCTCTTGTTCCCAGCTCTGCCTTTGGATCCTGTGACCTTGCTGAACTGATGTGAAGTTGGTGTTACATATACAACTCGAAAGGCACTCAAAAGTCACAAGTTCCTGAGCTAACATGGGACGTATTCCCAAGGTAACAGCTAAAACAAGCCACAGATAATGTTTAAAAACTGGTATTTGGTTTGTGTGAGTAGAGTCAGCACTCAGCAGAACTCCAGCTGAGAGCTTCTGCTGACAGGACTCGAGTGATGGTGAGGACATTGGAGTATTTGCTGTATATGGAAAAAACCCTCATTTATGAACAACCTTATTAGTAAATTAACCTGCTAAAAGACAGAGAATTATTGGCTGCAGTGTTAGAACAAGACCAAGAATGAAATGTGTGTGAGCTGCAAAAAAGGGTTAAACCTAGCAGGTGGGAAAGGCTGTGCAGATAAATAACCAAAGTTGAGGGGCCACATTTACAGGGATTACTTGGCCCTAATGGAAAAGGACCAGGAAAAAAAGCAAAATATGGATCTTGTATTTACAGATCAGTTATTTAAAAACTCAACAGATAATACAACCAAAACCTACACTAACAAAACCCATACAATCTACAATGTGTGCTCAGAGTCCAACAGGTAATTTCCTAAGTTGCCATCCACACAAATGCCCTATTTCCAATTTGGCTCAGTTTTCACCCAGAAAAGCCCAAGTGTAACACTTGTAAAAAACGGAATGGCTACTGCCTGACGACACAGAACAGAAATAAAATAAAAAAATTAAAAAGGCCTAACTGATTTTGGCCTACCTAATGTCTGATCTTTTCAGAGCTGCATAGGAGAGCACTAAGGCCAAGGCTGTTGCTACAGTAAGGCCTGCCTGTCCGAGCTTTGGAGCAGCATCCAGGGTGGGAGAGGGGCTGCCACAGGCCCCAGGGAGGTCTCAGGCTTCCAAATTATCCAGCTGGGCCTCACTGCCTGCCCTCTTCTCTGGCGATGTGTACAGGAAGTTGCAGCAGATGTAGAGGGGGAACGTCAGGAGCCTGCTGTCCAAATTCATCACGATCTGCTCCTGGAGCACACACAGGACATTTGTATGGTGAGGGGGGACCAGAAAGCACAGCACTGACACAACATTCATTCTGCACATATTAATGACTATAGATTAAAATTAGAATATAAAAAATTAAGCAAAGACAGTTCACCTTCACCTAAAGTTTATACTAACACTGACACATTCTCAGCCTGCCCACTGCTCCCACCAGAGCTCCCAGCCCTCTGCAGCACAGGGAACAGCTACAGGAAATGCTAGAACAAATTTCCCCTCCAGCATGCTGAGGAGAAAGGGACAGTTTTTAGTTTCGGGAGGTTTCACCAACCAGGCATTCCACAACAGTATATACTTGAAAGCAAATTTCAAGTTTGTGGGTAGGAATTTTTGGTTCCACTCTAGGAACTGGTTTTGGGGTAGCAAAATTGAAACTTCAACCTCGTGAGGATGCAAAACAATTAAAACTTCAAAATTGAAATGCCACCCTCCAGTGAGGATGGCACTGACAAGGAAAGGTTTTCTATGTTCTCACTAGCTTTGTATCACTGCTGGCTGGGATTGAGAAACTTGATTAACAAGTCCCACACATGCCTCACTAAATCCTGCTGTCAGCAATGGGTGGAAAAGGGCACTTGCTCTAAGAAAACTCCACTCCTCTCTGGGGTTTTCATCAATTTATTTAATAGAGTAATAAATCCAACCCTTAAACAATAAGTAGACATTCTTTTAACTCCTCAGCTTATGAGAATCTTCAAATTCCAAATCTGCCTCTAAATGAGGAGTCTGAAGGACAGATTAGGCAGAGGGGTGATGCCAGCAGTGCTGGAAGGCTGAGAGAACAGCTGAATATGACACTGGCAGCAGACAGCAGCACCACAGGCATTAATTTCACTAACATGGGAACTAATTTCGTATTATCAACACTAATGAAACCCACACTACCCTACTCTAGATCTACTTCACAAATTAAGCTTAATTATCCACTACTTCTAAGAGGAATGCCTGAGATTCCATATAAGCAATGACAACAAGAACAGCAACTCCCTTTCAAAAGCACTTGTGACTTCTCAGCATTTTTTTCATGCCTTGAACTCCACCATTCAAGTTCAACAGCTCAAAAGCCCACAGACACACCTGGTCCTTCTCCAGGGTCAGGATCTGATAGCCTGTTGTCCTGCTGCAAATCATCTTCCCACTGCAATCGAACGAGGCTAGGCGTAACCTGGGGGCACAACAGTGAAATCACTTCAGTCTCCCGTATTTTTTCAGCACAAGGAGCTTCTCCCCACAAGACAGGGTAACATTTTTTAATGTCACTGACTCGGTGGCAGCAAAACCTAATGCCAGCAGGGCTGGCAGCACTGAGGAAGCCCCCAGGCCGGCACCTGAAGGCGATGCTGCGGCGTGGCTGCAGGCTGACAGAGCCGCTGCACGGCTGGTTCAGTGTGTTGCGCTTGAAGATGATGTAGCGGTTGGTGTAGGTCACCAGCAGGTCCAGGCCAAAGTTGAAGCCAGTCCAGCGCCAGCAGTACTGCAGAACAGAGGGGACACAGCCTCAGGATGGGCTCTGAGGGGTCAGTCCTGGCAATGGGGTTCTGGGCTATGCTGGGGGGGGAATCAGGGATCCCTGCCAGCACCTGTCTGGAAGAGAGAACCCAGTGGGGACAACCTGGACACTGCAGGGGACTGCGTGAGAGCATCTGAGTGCCCGCTGCCTCCCAGAGACAGGAACACATGCCACACCAGTAGGTGTCAAATAGTTAGCATTGGGTAATGGGGCTGATCTGTGAGCCCCAGCCATGCCCAAAGCACTCCTCGGCGTCAACAGCCTCGCGTTATGTGATTTCAATGGGAAAAATTAATGTTCTCTGTTTATTTCACAAGACCTGTTACCTAAAGACACAGAGGGGTCCTCACTATGAATGTTACACATTTTATCATACAGAACTTCCTTTTCCAGATAAAAAGAATACACCAGTGATCACAGCTGTATTTAAATGCCTGGATAACAGTTTTCCCAGTCTCATAGCACAAGAGCACAATGAAACAGCAGTTCCTCGGTTCTCGCAGAGACAATGCTTCCAAACCTCTGGGGAGAAAAAAAGTGGTATTTTTCTCCATGACATCTTTTGGATGCAGTTTGCCAACGAGCACCTACATGGTTTGGAAATGCCTGACTTATCTCAGCCATGTCAGCTCTGCAGTTTGCCACGTGCCACACTTACATCACCATCCTTGGCCAGTTTGCGACCACACCTCATGCTGTTTCCTTCCAGTTCCTCTTTATTGATTTCTTGAGGCCTGAAAAAAAACCAAAACAGCATCTTTAAGGACACTTCAACAGCTTTGTATGATACCTTAATTTGGGGGAAGATGAACGGACTGGAGTAAATTTGTCCGAGCACACAATGATGGAATACCCTGAGCTGGAAGAGACCCACAACTGACTCTTCTTTGAGCAGAGGTGTGACTAGATGAGCTCCCGGAGCCTCTTCTATCCCAAACTGTCCCATAAACATCCACCTACGCTACAAAACTGCAATACAAACCAGGTTGTGACACCTCAGTTAGGCAGGACTTCTTCTACAAAAGAACTTTTCCAGGTAACAAAGTAATAGCTGTTGCAATGAAAAACCCAAGTGTTTTTTAAACTCAGCAGGCTGACTTCTTAGGCACAACCAGAGACAAGTGCTGGGGTACAGCTGCAGGGCTCTGCACTACAGCAGTGCTATGAAGCAGCAGCCACGAGACACTGGGAGAGGTTTCTCAAGGAGTTGGTTATGCAACTCAGCTAAAAAAAAACCACTTCCTCTCAGTGCTCATGAAGTGCCAGAGCCTCTCAGAGCTCCTGAGATGCAAGAGCCCTCGGCTGTGTCATCCCACACCAACATCAGCTCCTTTCACCCAACAGTTCCCCTGCGTCCAACAAGTAGAACAGCCTCACAGAGCCAGCACAAGTGAGATCAGCCTTGATTTTTCACAAGTGTTCCTCACTTCGCTTCACACACCATGACATGATTAACCCAACACCCACTGCCAGAAAATGTT